GGGATAAAATTCACGAAAGAAGAAGAGAACAACCGACTAACCTTCCTGGACATAATGGTAAAACGCAAAAACAATGGTGAACTCCAGACTAGTCTATATAGAAAGACCACACCTACAGACCAAATACCTCAGTTACACTAGCCCACAAATGGAGCTGCATCAGGACACTATTTAAATGAGCCACAACACATTAGGGCAACCAGGAACTACACAAAGCAGAACCAGCGCACTTACACAGTCTTCCAAAAAAATGGATACCCGAAAAGCACAATCCGCCATTACCTCTGAGACAGACCACAACAGGAAGACACCAACACGACCAGACTCACTATTCACCCTACCGTACATCAAGGACATTTCAGAGATGACTACAAGACTACTCGGACCCCTAGGTATCAGAGTAGCCCACAAACTGACAACCACCCTACGACAGCTACTGACGAATGTAAAGGATCCCATACCCTAAACCAGCAAAACTAGTGTAATATACAAAATACCATGCAAGGACTGTTGAGAAACACTACATAGGCCAAACTGGAAGAAAACCGACAGTACAGATACATGAACACCAACTAGCCAAAAAGAGACACGACCAATTCTCACTTGTCTCACTACACACGGACAGTGAGGGACATGAATTCAATGGTGACAACACATTGATAATCGCACAAGCCAAACAGAGACATGCCAGAGAATTTCTGGAGGCCTGGTATTCCAACCGGAACTCCATCAACAAACACATTGAATTAGACCCTGTGTACATACTGCAGACAAACAGAACTGGAAGTAATACCAATTACCCTAGCAAACCGAGGCAAATAAATAACAAGTGGGACAGAACACCAATGCTTTCCTGGAGGCGCATTGACAATGTTACCTAGCAAGGTGATGAAACGTTTGCAGTCAAACCCATGGGCTTGGCGAGTATGTCTACAACTTCATTTGTTCTTATGTTAAATTAATCGTCAAAGGATTGCAGATCTTGATCGAAAATATCTGTTACTTTTCTTGGTGAGCTATAACAATGTTAAATATAGTCCCAATCAAACACAAAAGTGCACTTGTGTTCTGAAGAATCTTGTATATTATAAATCTTCCAACTTCGTATCTAACTTGGAAGCAACTCTGTGTCTTAAAATGTTGCCTTCTCCAAGATTACCAGTTCTGTGTTCTATTTGAGCCATCTCAGAAATTAAACTTTCTTGGTGACATTATTTCTGCTGCCATGTTTTCCTAATGTGATGGTTTCTTTTTCTTGCTTTAATGGCTTTTAATTCCAGTGTATAGCATTGCTGTACTTGAGACGTTTCCCACATTTTTGTGCTTAAAATAGATGATTCCTTTTTCATAATTTCTGTGAATGAATCTCATTAATTGTGACTTTACTAAATGATTCCTGTTTCCTTAACTGTTTTACTGAATGAATCTTACTACCTGTAGTTTGAATTTTGAATCCCATTCTCTTTAACCGTTTTCCCCTGGATGAGTCCCATTATGTGTAGTTTAAACAAATGCTTCTAGCTGCTATCATGATTTAATTAATGGATCTCTTGCCTTTAGCTCAGCTTCTAACTTTCTCGTTAGAACTTGTCTGCTCAGATTTCTAATTTGACCCATAGTCACTGTAATTCTGACTTTGTGACATTCCTCGTTCTGTGACCTTGTTTCCTGTTGTTTCTGTGGGCCTTGCTATCCCTTATTGTGGTTGTTTCTTTGTGATGTCTGTTGACGGTGGTAGTAATGCTCCATCTCAAGTATTTCAGTCTGGGAGCTGCACCCTTTGTTCTAATGTTTTCCTTCTCCAGCAGGGATTTTGATTTACTCCCCCAGAACATACAGTGTCCATTCAAAAACTTCAACTGAACCTAGATTCAAGACAACTTCTACAGATTGTTGACATGTGATAACAATCTGTAACAACCTTGGTGCCAGTGGTGTTCTAACTGCAGTGGGCTCCTAGCTCATTCTTGTGTCTGACCAGATCTGAAATGCTTTTGACTGTCGTTTGTACATTTTGCCTTTATGAGGTGGTCCTGTTCAACATTCCTAAACGTTCAGCTCTTTCAGCTGTTGACTGTCTGTTTTAAGAAGCCTTCTTTAAATGCTGTGCCCAAGGAATCTTCAGATCTCCCTGACTGCCAGTGTTTTGTATGCTGTAGATAAATGGTGTCTTGCACCGCTTGCTGCCACATCATAATATGAATCCATATCACAGCTCATCATGGTCTTAGATCCATCTGATATAGACGGATTTTTCTTTGCAATATATATTTGCAAAATACAGGGACTACTTCTATGATGTGATAGTTGCGTTCTTGTGTGATCTTGCGCAATAGAAAATTGCATTATAGGGAAATTGCTACAGAAAATCGCAATACCTGTACAGCAAAAAGTTTGCATTACCCAAAACAGCGTCCACTATTCATCAATCGTGTTACAGCCAATACACATTAATGAAACACGTGGTATAGCAGAATTATCTGTACATTTGCTGCCAACATCCTTCTTCTCCCTGGCTTTCTGCTGTTCGTGATCTACATAAACGACTTTGTGGAAAACATAGCTGGTCTAAGTTTGCAAACGATACAAAGTTTGGTGGAGTTGCTGATAGTGAGGAGGATACAGCAGGATATAGGTCAGTTGGAAAACTGACAGATGGAGTTTAATCTGGACAAATGTGAGGTGATGCATTTTGGAAGGTCACGTACAAGTGAAAATTGTACTGTGAATGGCAGAACCTTTAGGAGTATTGACATGCAGAGGGATCTGGGTGTGCAGGTCCACAGTTCACTGAAGGTGGCAGCATGGATAGATAAGGTAGTAAATAAAGGCATATGGCACGCTTGCCTTCATTGGACGAGGCATTGAGTAGAAGGATAGACAGGTTTTATGCTGCAGCTTTATACAATTTTAGTTAGGCCACACTTAGACTATTGCATACAGTTCTGGTCACGACACTACCAGAAGGATGCAGATGCTGTGGGAAGGGTACAGGAAAGCTTTATGACGATGTTGCCTGGTATGGGGGATTTTAGCTATGAAGAAAGGTTGGATAGACTGGGTTTGTTTTCACTGGAACGCAGGAGGTTGAGGGGCAACCTGATTAGAAATTTGCATGATAGAGTGGAAGGTTTGACGCTTTTTCCCAGGGTGGAGGGGTTAATTACTAGGGGACACAGGTTCAAGGTGCAAGGGGGGGTATGTTGAAAAGAGATCTGCGAGACAAGTTTTTCACATAAAGAGTGGTGAGTGCCTGGAACACGATGCCAAGAGGAGGTGGTGGAAGCAGACATTCAAGAAACACCTGAACGAATACGTGAATAGGAAGGGAATAGAGGGATACGGATCCTGTAAGTGAAGACAGTTTTAGTATGGAAGGGCAAAATGTGTTGGTGCAGAGCTGGAGGGCTGAAAGGCCTGTTTCTGTCTGTATTGTTCTTTATTCTTTATTCTTGGTGTGGTAGAGGGTGACCACCTGATTGTTAAGTCAACAGCCTCTTTAGACAGAAGATGTAGATTATTGCATGATAGCAACTAATTACAAGTTACACTGGTATGTGAGACATTATTATTGAAACCTCAACATTCAGTCTTACTGTTCTGAGCTCCAAAGCTGTTCCCCTGCCCTATGACATCATCATATTGAGCATAAGGAACTCCTCAACATTAACTCTTTTAGACCCTTACACCCTTCTACAACACACACTTTGTAAAATGGGAGGCAAGAACATAACAAACTTGTGGTGTGCTGTTGACACGCTGGTATGGAGACACAGAAATGCCTTGCAACATTGCGTAGATCAAGTAAGATCTAAAAGTTTGGAACATGGATTAAGTAAGAATGCCAAAAATGTAAGAACAACGGTAGTTAGGAATGCACGAGAAGAATTCAGTGTGAACATGGACACGGATTGTGTCACACTACAATTACCATATACGTTTGACTATTTTTTTAGACCAAATTATAATAGAGGTGGCAATTATGATACAGAGCTTAGAAGAAGGGAAGAGATAGAGTAATTTTGTGAAAATGAAGGATGTGTTAACAATGAGAAAAATCCAGCCTGTAACAAAAAATGTCATAAGATGCTATATTCTAACTATTTTCGTGCAAGCTTTAGATCCCTGGAGAAGAAGTAAAGATGCATGGAAGAAAATAGAAACCTTTGAATCGTGGATGCTAAGATGTATACTGAAACTTACACAAATAAGACCATAAAGACAACTGAATAGATATTTGAAAATACAAGGACGAAAAAAAACCTGACATTCCAGAAAAGAGAATGCCAGTATTTTGACGATTTGTTCAAAACGGCAAATCAACAAGAGATCTCTTGTCAAGGTCAAATTGGAAGGAAATAGAAAGCGGGCTCAACCTAGATGTGGTTGGATGCTGGATGTTATAGAGCAGTTGCAGATGAGCTACAGTGGAAATGTGATAAGGCTCAAAACTGACGAGAATGGCACCCTAAGCCAGCAGACCTCTTGGCAGGAGTAGCTACAAACAGCAGCAACGTCCAAGTCTAGATCATCAAGAAATATGTCAAGAAATGCAAAGACCATAATGCCAACTCCTAGGAACCTGACTTTGAAGCTCCAGTCTGAAAAAAACAACTATTCACAACTCTTCTTTGTTTCTGGTCACTCAGCCAATTACATACTCATGTTGCTCTTGTCCCTTTTTAGTCCCTGGTCTTTAACTTTGCTAACAAGCCTATTATGGGGCATTTTATCAAATACCTTTTACAAGTCCGTGTAAATCGCATCACCAGCATTATCCTCATCCATCCTTCTTCAAAGACACAGTTTGCCTTTAATGCAATCTTTGCAGTATTTCCTTAATCAGTATACATTTGTCTCAATGTTTGTTAATTGTATGATGATCTGGTTCATCTGCAATTAATGTGGACCCATTGGGGACTGGTCTAGTATGACATTTGAAGGCTTCAGAACTGGTTTAATTGTTGTAGGTTTTAAGTTACTTGTCTGTATTTTTTTAGGTGCGTTACTGCCAATCTCTGAGTGAGGAAGAAAAGAAAGAATTGCAGCTCTTCAGTGCTCAGAGGAAGAAAGATGCACTGGGGAGAGGAACTATCAAACAGCTACCAAGAGTCCAAATGCATACTGCTTGTGATCAGGTACAAGGAAGCAATAATTAAACAAGCATTGTATTCTGTTTCTTTGAAGTCAGTGATTTATGATGGGTATGGTTCTAACCAGTTCAAGTGATCATTGTGAACCACCTAACATTACATTTGCAGGCATTCCAATCTCAAATGCCTAACAGCTGATCACAATCTTATCCTTATCTGACATCCACATATCCATGGATCACTTAAAAAATTGTAATGTCGCTACCACTATTAAACGAGATACATTCTGATCTTTACCAATTAATTACATGGGGAAAAAAATGAATGACTAAAATTGCGATAAGTTACAAATCAAAATAACATTATTTTCGCATTATATTGCAACAGCTCAGGATTATTAGTGAGATTCCCAATAGAATTGATCATACGTGCCTTCCCTTTGTGCTTCACTTCTTCCTCCTGGCACTGGGGGCTGGAGGTGTCATAGCCATAATGGCACTAGGTTAAGAGTTCAGAGGCCCAGCTTAATGTTCTGAGGACATGAGTTCAAATCCTAGTGTGACAGTTGGTGAAATTTCAAATCATTTCATCAAAACCTAGTTTCAGTAATGGGACCATGAAATTGCATGAAGTTTCATAAAAACTCATCTGGTTCAACTGGGAAATCAGCCGTCCTAACCTGGTCTGGCCTACATGTGACTCCAGACTTTCAGCAATGTTGTTTACTCTGAAGAAACCGAGCAAAAGTCATGAAACTCCAGGGCAATTAAGACTGGGTAACAAAATGTGTCTTTGCCCCCCAACACACATCCCATGAAAGTATAAAGGAAGCTCAGTTAGTGGCTGAGTCAAAGCGACAAGAACATGCTGGGTTCACTCTGATGAGTTAGTTATCTGATTTCAGCTGAAATGCTACAAATGTGTCCCCGAATTAAGAAATTATTGGCCAAAAGCAATTCAAATAGGTTTTCAAGTGTTCCCTATTCTGATAGGAAAATATGGCAGTGGAAATCTGATGAGAACAAAATTAGCTAGCCTCTAATGATCCCTCAGGATAACACAAAGTATCAAACTGCACCTTCAAACTGTAAATCAGAGAGGAGACACCTTCAGAAATGGAGACAAATTGTTAAAAATAATGTAACTGCTGTGTTTACTGCAGGAAGCATATCCAATGAGAGCAACCTGCTTAATTTTCACTTGTATGAAAACACTGAGCATTGTATGGATCATGCAATCCTAACTGTGATCATCGACTATTACTCCTTTTAAACAACAACAGTTTAACAAGCCCATAGACACATTACATTAATTAATGGGCATTTAACAACATATTGGAGAACAGGCATTTCTCATCCTATACTGCCTGTCTTTCCCAAACTTCACAGAATGAGCCATTTAATGTGCCTGTAGGAGCTTTGAATTCCATTCAAAACCAGGGAAGAATTAGGTATGTGGTTGAATCTTTAAAGTTGCAGATCTGAAGAATAGTTTTGGGGCCCTGTGTACTGTAAACAGGCTTTAAAGGTAGTTAGTTTTGGTATAAAACCTTTTGATGTTTGTAAACATCTGAATGGTGGCCAATTCTCTTGTTGAAATGGCTGTGATAACAGAAGAATGGTCTCAACAATTCTGATAAGCCTGCTGATTTGACTCTGGACAAGTCATGTTCTGTGTTTACTTTGGGCCATGACTTAGTGTTCATTCTCACCTTTTTTTCACAATAGGTTTTCTGAGATAATTGAATCTGTGTTCATATAATATTGCAGGGGCGTGAACACGAGTGCGGATTTTAATTTACACCTTTAAAGCCCCCAACCTGACCTCTAACCTCCCAATTGTGTCTTCCAGTGTGAGGAGAAGATAAAAGGAGGTGAAGTTGCAATATTCGCCTCCAGGGCTGGTTCTGCTGTTTGCTGGCACCCTGCATGCTTTATCTGCTCAACCTGCCAGGAGCTCCTCGTTGACCTCATCTACTTTTACCAAGACAGGAAAATCCATTGCGGCAGGCATCACGCTGAACTTCTGAAACCCCGCTGCTCTGCCTGTGATGAGGTGAGAGAAGGTGTATGTAACCAAATTACTGATTTACCAATGTACTGCTCAGTGACTGTCCTTAGAAACTGTCTTCTTTCCATAGTGATTGGGAGATACAGTATGTGGTGTTTAAAGTGGAGCGTTGTTTCAGTGTTTAAGAGAGAGACCAACTTACATTTGTATAGTGCCTTTCCCAAGTTCAGAACAGCACAAAATATCTTACTGTCATTTTTCAAGATGAAGTGGCCAAAGTCCTACTAGACTGCAAGGGCTGCTCTCTCATTAGAGAGAGAGATGACTGGTGGTGGTTTAACCTGAGGGCCACCACACCTCAGGTGATGGGAAAGGCTAAGAAGGAGAGTCCTTCACGTTAACCTCAGATGGCGCTATTGGCATTGCAAACCAACCATCCAGCCAACTGAACTAACCAGTGAAAGCTGCTGGTAGCTATTCCCATGGATTAACAAGGGGAACTGACTGTGAGTATAGCATATTTACCCACTCAGCAGACAGTGGCTTTTGATCCTGGGATTTTACTGGTTTGTGTGGCTTAGCTATACATACATAATGTAATACAATACTTATAATAGCATGTGGACTGCAGCAGTTCAAGAAAGCAGCTCACCATCACCTTCTCAAGGGCAACTAGGGATAGGCAATTAAATCCTGACCAGCCATTGTCCCACAGGTGGATAGAAAAAAGCTTTACTTTGACAGTTTTCATGGTCAATTAAAAGAGGAGGGAATGTTGCTGGTCAAGGCCAAAATTCCCCCCTCAGCTAATCCCAGAGGGGGAATAAAAACACGTTTTATCTCACTCCGAGATAACAAGGTGTAGAGCTGGATGAACACAGCAGGCCAAGCAGCATCAGAAAAAAAGAAGGGCCTAGGCCCGAAACGTCAGCCTTCCTGCTCCTCTGATGCTGCTTGGCCTGCTGTGTTCATCCAGCTCTACGCCTTGTTATCTCAGATTCTCCAGCATCTGCAGTTCCTACTATCGCTGAAACAATTTTATCTCACTCTGTTTGTGTGTGAAAAGTTGTGGGCACAGATTGACTATTTCATTAGCCTATAACAAGGAAGAGACACAACCATGTGGTACTCCAAAGTCTTGCAAAGCTGTACATGTTGAGTGCAGTCACTATTGTACTGTAGGAAAGGCAGCAAGTTGAACCCTACAGCAATACGATAACGATGCAGTAATTTTTTTTCCAAAAGAAGACTCCTGTCAGGAAACAATACCGAAATTGCTGGAAAAGCTAAGCAGGCCTGGCAGCATCTGTGAAGGAAAAAACAGAGTTAACATTTCGGGTCCAGTGACCCTTCCTCAGAACTGTCCTGTCAGACTTGAAATGCTAAATCTGTTTCTCTCTCCACCGATGCCATCAGACCTGCTGAGTCTCTCCAGCACTTTCTGTTTTTATTTCAAATCTTCAGCATCTGCAGTCCTTTGCTTTTATTCATTTTTTTTTATGATCTCGATTGCAAGAGTAAATATTGGCCAGGAGACCAGAGACAACTCTCCCACTCCTTTGCTTCAAAATTTTACCTGAGAAAACTGTTAGAGCTTTGACCAACATGTCATCTGAAGGATAGTATCACAGACAATGCAGCACTCACTCACTACTGTTCTTCTGCTCAACTCTTGGAATTCTCACCTTCTAACTTGGAGGCAAGAGAATAACCAACAGAGCCACAGCTAAACATGGCGAGAGTACTGTATTCCAACTAACATAATTAATTGTCAACAGCATTTCAAAACAAGGTGCTATTTAAATTCAAGCACTGTTTAACTTTCTTCCGTGCAATTTAAATGCTGGTGGGAGAGAGGAAGTCGGCAGGGAGTCATTTCGCGAGAACGACCCCAGCAACTTGCGGTTAGACAGAACCTAATGCAGAATATCATCCCAAACACAGTGTTATTGAAGAAAAATGTTACGTATATTTGAACAAGTGACCAAAAACATACACAAACAGGAGGATTTTAAGGAATATCTTAGAGGAGAGAGGTAAGAGATTGCCAGAGCATGAGTCCAGACCTTTAAGGCTCAGTTGCCACCGGTGAGGCACTAAAAATATAGGAGCACACGCAACTAGAGTTGAATGAACATTCTGTTCTCTTGGGACAATCTACAAATATACATTTTATAGGTTATACACGTAGAAACTAATAGTTATTAAATCCTAGCCGTGATTCAAGTGTGCAATCCAGCAGAATACTGTATTCATTCCATCCTCAGACTGACATTTAGTTCAAAGTTAGCAGAAAACTTCTATGTAATCTTAATGTAGGTTCAAATCTTACAAAAGAGACACTGTGGACTTTTTCTAGTCTTGGTCTTCAAAGATCGGAATATTTATTTACATTTCAGTTTAAATATGAACTGCAGAGATCCTTGTGGAGATTTGAATACTTGCCTAACAAAGCGTTCTTCTGGAATTTCAGATTATTTTTGCCGATGAATGCACAGAAGCTGAAGGCCGTCACTGGCACATGAAGCACTTCTGCTGTTTTGAGTGTGAAACTGTTCTGGGTGGCCAAAGATACATTATGAAGGATGGGCGCCCATACTGTTGTGGCTGCTTCGAGAGTCTATACGCAGAATACTGCGAAGCATGTGGGGATCATATAGGTAATCCAGTTTTACTTTTATTGTAAAATGCTCAGCTGAAAGTGTAAAAACCTAGTTTCTTTTAAAGTATATCCACACGTTATTTGTTTTTCGTGCAATGAATGAGATATTTTTTAACAACTGACAATCAAAAGGGTTAGGTGAAACTTTATCACAGACACAAACCTAGCCTGGGCGGCATGGTGGTTCAGTCGCTAGCACTGCTGCCTCACAGCGCCAGCGACCTGGGTTCAACTCCAGCCTCGGGCAACTGTCTGTGCGGAGTTTGCACATTCTCCCCCTGTCTGCGTGAGTTTCTTCTGGGTGCTCTGGTTTCGTCCCATGGCCCAAAGATGGGCAGTTTAGGTAGATTGGCCATGTTAAATTGCCCATAGTGTCTAGGGTGGGAAAGGCAGGGATAGGATGGGGGTGGGTCTGGGTGGGATGCTCCTCAGCGAGTCAGTGTAGACTCGATGGGCCAAATGGCCTGCTTCCACTCATGATTTAAATATGTGCATTCTTTGTACATAACCAGTCCGATCTATAAGTCGATGGATGGTTGTCAGAAAACAAACTGTGATAGTGTCAGCTCCTTTACATTGTCCACACTACTGTCTTCAGACTCCATCGGATGGGATAACTTCAGCAGACTTGGGATAGTCACATGGGAATAAAACTGGCTAAAGGATATCAATTTAACATCACAGCTGAATTCCTAGTCCAGTAGACTCCTTGATTATGATTTTGATGCAAAGAAGGCTTGGTGAAGAACCCCATGGAAATGTTACTGGCCAGCATAGCAGTCACTGAGCCAAGGGGAGCATGCTACAATCTAAATAATCAGCTGCCAGCAGATAAGTAAGCTTTGTCCAAACCACAGAACTCCATTAGCTGTCTTTTGCCGCCTCTGGACCTATTCCCAAGATATACCAAAGGGCTGAGCCCACAAGCGGTTCAAAATTAAATCCTTGTGAATGGACAAGGGGCAACAGATTTGGAAAGCTCACATAGAAAACCTAACTCTGACCCAGACTTCATGTAGGGTCTGGAGTCACATGTAGGCCAGACTAGGTAAGGACGGCAATTTCTTTCCGTAAAGGTCCTTGGATGAACTAGATGGGTTTTTCCGACAATCAGGAATGGATTCTTGGTCATCAGTCGATTCTTAATTCCAGACTTTCACTGAATTCAAATTCTACCCTCTGACGTGGTGGGATTTGAACGCGGGTCAACAGTCCAGCTGTAATACCACTAGGCCATCACCTCCCCACTTGTCAGTATTTAGATACCAATTCATAAGTGTAGATTCGAGTTAAAAGAACAAATGAATGTCAAATTGCATACTGCTTTTGTCTAAGTGGAGTTTCCTTTAACTGCAGGAGTTGACCATGCACAGATGACATATGATGGGCAACATTGGCATGCCACCGACCAATGCTTTTGCTGTGCCCAGTGCAGGACTTCGCTTCTGGGATGCCCTTTCCTCCCAAAACAAGGTCAGATTTTCTGCTCGAAATCCTGCAGCCTGGGCGAAGACGTACACGCCTCAGACTCCTCCGACTCTGCGTTCCAATCCGCGCGGTCAAGAGAGTCCAGGAGGAGTGTCCGACTGGGAAAAAGCAGCAAGTCAGCAGACCAATGCAGGCAGTCGTTGCTGCTTTCGCCTGCTGTCAATTACAAATGCCCCGATCTCTCTGGCAGGAGCGACGACCCATTATCTCAGCAAATGGATGCCCTCAGCCTCGGCAGCCCAGCTGCGAGTCTCAGCAACAATCGTTTTTGGAACGGTCGGGTGGAGGCCGACGCAGCTGAGGAACATGAAGAATGGGCTGAGCACGACGACTACATGACCCAGCTACTGCTTAAGTTTGGCAATCGGGGCATCTTTCAGCAGTTCAGTGAAGACGCCAAGCACTGGATATCAGACAGCGAAGCCAAAAGTAAGAAGGAACTGAATGGCCGTAATGGTCAGGGCTTGGTAAGTACGAAGTATGAGTCCAACATGTACTGGGCGCAATCCCAGGATAATCTAGGAGATTCCGCCTATGGGAGCCACCCTGGACCAGCCAGCAGTCGCAAGATTCAAGAGCTTGACATTGATCATGGTGCAGCGGCCTACAATCATGACCAAAACCAGTGGTA